TTGGTGTTAAAGTTTGGGACTTTACTACTTTTAATTGTAATAGATAAGGGGTTCATGAAGAGATATAGGTGCAGGTTGGATCTTGAGGTGGGGGATTCTAGGTTTCTCTTTTTGAGGAAAGAAAGGGGGATGGGTTGGTTAAGAGAAAAAGAGAAGGGGTGAGTTTGCATTTGAGATTATGCTCATGGGATTTGGAAAGGGTGCCAATTGTTGTAGAGGAAAAGTAAGAAAGAAGTTAGACTAGATTTACGGTTAGTTTGAAATAAGGTAGTTAGGAATTCTAGTTTTTTATGGAATAAAAAAGAAATTTAAATTAACATAAATTTGAGAGTAATTTTAAATATTCCGTTATTCTAGAAGAATTTTGTGAAGGGTTAGCAAAACACTATAGTATTTTGTTGCAGCATAGGTGAATTTAGGTGCTTTAACAATTAATGCATCAAAAAAAGACATGACCCAAAAGAATTAGATAATAAGCAATAAAACGGTTAAGAGATTTGGGAGATCAAAGAAATGACCCTAGAAGTCGCTTTTATGTGATTTTATGTTAGGTTTTTTTATTTAGGAAGGTTAATGATGAACCATAAACTGTGGCCAATATCTCAACAATAAAAATCCAAAAGAGCATGCCATAAGAACATCATGGATTCTTCAAACTTGATCTTCATCATAACAATGATCATCATCTTGTTGAATTACTGATGACAATTCCTAGGATGATGTTGCGTTATAAAATCAATTGGAATAGTGAGTTACAATGAAAGATTTTTCAAAAGCCTAAAAGAAGGAAGAATGTGAAAGAAGATGGAAGGAGAAGCAAGTACATGACTTAGAGGAGGGAAAAGGTTGTTAAGTATTATTTTCATTACAATAAACAAAGTGCTAATCATATAACCCTTGGATCTTTATTTATAACAAAAAAATTTATAATACAAGACTAATAGCCAAACTTATCCTAAACTGATAAATTATCATATTTCACAAAACAAATAAAATAAAAGCTAAAAAATGAGCTAACAAAAAAAAAGCTAATTCAACTAAAATATTAAAACTTGACATAATCTATAATTATTCTACATCAATTAAGCCCTTTTACTTTCAACTAATGTGTTACTATTATAGCTATTTTTCTATTATTAGAATATGAGGCAATTCTATGGCATAAAAGGGACTCTTCTTACAACAAATACTCTACCCCATGCTTTATGATAAAAATTGACGATTCACCTACAATCACTAGAGATGCCAAGCTTGTTTGATGTCAACCATGATGGAAGTCATGAATTAGGTCCAATATATTACCCTTCTTCAAAATCCGTTAAGCTCTTAGAATTCAATGTTATATTCTTTTGTTCTCCATCTATAAGATGCATAGATTCTCAAGATGAGACAACCTTGATATTAGATCTTGACACTTGTCAATTACAATATTATGGTAATGAAAAACTTAGCTCATGTTTGGTCACTACAAGAATGTATCCTATCCATGCACTTCTTCCTTAACTTTACAATAATCTAGTATAAATTATGTGCATGGCATATCATAAATTTTGGTTTGCATCATCTAAATAGCATAATTAACAATTTTTAGCAATTACAGGATTGTAACATTTTGTTTAACTTCTACCAATTTTCCCCTTCTAAAGGTTGCTAGAATTTGGTTTGCTTCATTCATATTTGCCTTTCATTTTGCGCAAGCCATCATTTAACATAACATATTCATTTAGACTTATGGACAAATTTGTGGAATCTAATCATCACCCACATAAAAACTAAACATATAACCATACTTATGAATTGGGCCTTGGCATAGTGGTTCTCCCAACCAAGAGGTCGTGGGTTCCATCCCTACTCTTCACATTGCTGCCCTGTAAAAAAAAATCAAGCATGCATTTTCATTCGGCTCTTGTATAAAAAGTTTGACCCGTTTAATGAGCCTTCTTAAAATTAGTAACTTGTCTTATGCCCACTACATAAAATCTATGAGATAGATTTCTATTCTTTTAAAAAAAATATGCTTCAATTTGGCCCTTTAATAAAAAAGAGCATATTCCAAACATAATGACTTTTGATCGCAATTCATCACATCACATAAAAGAATTGCAAAGCCAATAACTGTAGCTCCAACATGCTACACATAAGTTATTGACAATATCTAGCATCCTGTCAGTTTTAGTCAAATGATGAAGACCCAATATGAATCGCATATTTCCTACTCAATGAACGCTAAACTACAAAGTGGAAGAAACTGTTTCTTTCGATGGAAACATGATAATGAGATAGCTAAGGCTTCAGCACACCCTGATAAGTACAAACCATCATCATTATCAGCCTCATCCTATCTATTTCTGGTTGGCTTCAAGAATCCTTCACCATGTATTCCTATTGCTTAATCTTAAGCTTAATCAAATTTATGAAGATCTTACATACTTCTTTTAGATATAAGCTTGGTCAACCTCTTTTCTTTTTCATATTTATTTTGCATTATTTTATTATCACACTAGTAATCCTTTCTTTTGACTTCTTTATTGCCCAAAATTAAAATCAATATGTGACAGACCTTGCATTATTAAATTTTATCAGTACTATCAGAGTTACATTGCATTTCTTCCGACCGATTAAAGTTAAGAGCACCTAGATATATGGATAACAATTATAGATTTATAGATTTAGTGATGTGAAACTACTAGGAGTTACCTTGGAAATTAGAAAGACAATTGAATAAAGCTTTGCTCATGAAAATTTACTACTAGCACATAAAAGAAGATTATGAATCTAAAGTAATCAACTTGCTTAGGCCAAATAAGTGCAATAGTGATTAACGAAACAATTCCATCAAAGTTCAAGGCAAGAGTAAATGCTAAGTACACATAACATAATCCAACATTTAACAACGAGAGGTTCACCTCAAGGGCCTTCTCACTCAATCACTCGTAGGCTTTAGCGGAGAAAGATGAACCATACGAAGAAAGATATTACCACTAGGAAGACAGCGCCGAAGACCTTCGTTGATGGAGCGGTAGCCGGTGGTGATGAAGGTGGTGGGTGGCCGACGATGATCCAACAACTTGGTGGAAGGTGCTCTTTGATTGCCAACGTCAAATGGTACAAGATGCGGTCGATGTACCCTTCAACGGTTTCGTCGTTGCCAAAGAAAACGTCAAAGTACAGGGACCCAAGGATATCCGTCCTTCCCTCTTCGTCAAATATGAATCTGAGGTTGATCTAGGGATCGGCCATGCATCATTGAAGAGATGGGGAGAGGGCGTCGTCTTCTTCTCTTGGCTTCAAGTGTTATGAGCAACCAAAACTTCCCGAGGGAGGGAGCAAGGAGAGGGGCGGCCAAGGTAGAGTGAGGGGTGGGTGACTTGGGTGAGGGGATTTAGGTTAAATGGGGGGAGAATGAGATTTACTCAAATCTGAAAGTAATTTCAGATTTTGAGTAAATTTGGAGGGAATTAATTTGAAATTTGAAAATCAAATTAATGAGAGAGAAGGGGAATTTAAGTGGAATTAATGGGGAGCCCATTAGGGGTGGCCGGCGGCATTGAGGAGGGAGAGGGGTTAGGGGGAGACTAATTGCTTTCTAAATAAGTTGAGGTCCAAATATGAGGGAAATTAATAATTCCACTCTAAATAAAATTTGGATTGGATTCAAATTCGAAATCTTTCCTTATTTGGAATTTTGCGAATATGGAAAGTTTTTTAATTTCAAATTTACTAACTTCTCCCTTTATTGCAAGAATCAAATTAGGGAGTCATTATGACGATTAAAATCATCATAATGATTTTGGGGGAAGATGGGGCCGACGGTCAAGAGGGAAGGGGGCGGTTGTGTGGCGGGTTGGGCTAGGTTGGCGGATGGGATTTATGTGGTGGAGCTAGAGGATGAATTGGGGTGGAAGATGTGAAACCTCCTGTGGTGGAGAGGTTGCAAGGGGGTCGGCGATTGACTTGGGGAGAGGACGATGAGAGAACACACAAGCAAACTAGAAGTAAACTAACCACGAGCCGTGGACTCTTCCAACGACTGGTGGGCCTTGCACTCGCTCACCTTGAGCTCACTCTACCTTCTCTCTAGATCTCATGCAAGAAGAAGAAGAAGCAAAGAAAATTTCATTTATCATTCATAAAAAAAAATACAACATATGAGACCACTATATATAGGTCTACACTTCATGAAAAGAAAAAGTACGAAATTGCCCTCTGGGCTACAATAACAAAACAACTCCCAACAGGGGTAAAAATGGAAAACAACAAATAACTAAATAACACATCATGAAATCTGAATCAAAAGTAGAGGCGTTGAATCGTGGCCGTAGATCTGCGATTCCTTCGTCGATAAATATGTCGGTAGCATCTGTCGATGTCCTCATCATTTAGGACCATTTAAATGGTTAGGGCTTATATAAGATTATCATTATCTTTCACTATCTATAATTTTTTAATTAAATAAACAATTTGCTAGACTGAGAATGTAATTCAAAATCAAACTCAATTTCTCATCCTTCAGAATGGAAAAATAGCAGACTATTTAGTCCGAAGTTGATTCATTTCAATAAACTGGCGAAAGAAGAGCCTTGAGATATGGGAATATCAAGAGTGCATCAGTATAGCGTCAAAATATCTTCTCAAAAGATGATGGATAAATCCTAAACACTTGATATTGTGTCCAGTCTGCTCAAACAATGATATGACGCTGAGCTACTTTGTAGGAATTAGGATACAACATTGCAAGGACTTAGCAATAGTTTAAATAATCCAACATGCCATAATAGAATTGCAAGGACTTAGCAATAGTTTAAATAATCCAACATGCCATAATAGAATCGGTTCGCATTATTTATCAGCACAACTTACTAATGCATTTTACTGAATCATAGTAACCAATGAGTACACACTAGTTTATATTCATCTTAATAAATATCATAATGCAATAGAAACATTGATCTGCAAATCCTAAAGATAGCTCGTTCAAGAATTCTTAAGAAAAAACATACCCACGAACAAGTATTGAACTTTTCTCAGCAGCACTGGTGACCTCGCGATAACGGGCAAGGCTCTCATCAATGCTACAATTTATGTTTGACTTTGAAAAAGACTCTGAGGCTGATGCAAATACAGCAATTTCCTTCGCCCCGTTTACAACTGCCGCCTCAAATCCCTGAGAATGATTATGAATATTAATAGCAACAGAAAAAGTTCAAATAGATGATCCTCCAAAAACTCATGTCACCTTAAGATTCGGAGTTAAAACAGGAAGCCTCACACCCTCTATATCTCGAATAGCCTCCATGACATCTTTTGCATCTGCTAGCTATGGTTATATCACATACAAATGTATAAGATAAAACAACAAAAATATTGGAAAATGCACATTCTTATTTGGCTGCAATTTAAAATACATGAAGCACTGAATGGACAACTTACATTCCCATTCAAGAAAAAGGACTCATAAAGCACTCAAAGTAATCTACATATGAATTACTGCTACTTTTAAGATAAAACGTCAATTAATATTTAGGAAGCGTATTTGTGCAACAGTTGCCAAAAAAGTTTATAGTGGTTCTGCCAAATAAGTTTCTGTTTGGCTGCATAAAATGCTGTCTTGATTCCCTGGGTTAAAAAAAAATACATTAAAGGGTTAAAAAATAATGTAATGTAAAATTAGTACTATTTAGCTCCGCACTTACAATGAATGAGAGGGAAATGCTTGAATCACAAAAAGTTTTCATTCACAAAGTTTAGGAGGGTGACAATTGTTCATCATGCAGGATTAAATGTTAAACACAGTAAAGCCCTTACACAAAATTTATATTGATTTGGTTCTCTGTGCAGCTAGGCCAAATTCGTTTCTGAGTTGCTGTTGATTGCCAATTGGTGGATCTCTGGGTTGCTGAATGTAAGCCAAAACTTGAGGTCGGTTCGTTACTGTTTTATTTTGCTGTTAACTCCGTGGGCTGATCTAATTGGACTGCAAAGCATACTGCGAGAGATAAATGTCATTTGATTTATCTACTGTAGATCTTATGACCTATGCAAGGCTATTAATGGCAAGTGGCTCAGCTAAGTTGGGTTAAATGGTTCAATGGCTTTACTGGTTCCTTGCAGCTTCACCGTTGGATTATTTAGTTGTGTTAGTTCACAGGGAAGACAACAGTAGCAAAATATCAATGTGTTAGTTCTCAGGCTTAATTATTGGGGTTTCAGCTGGGATTTATGCTAAGTTGTGTTTGCTTACTAAATGGGGCTTTGCTGTGATATTCCCCGCTGGCAATTAAAAGCTGATTGTATTTCTGTAGGAAAAAAAAAAGGTAATTGCATGTTTGAAACTAAAATTAAGGCTTTCCAGCTCCTTGTAGGAAAATCGGAGCTGCCGTGCATTGCATGATTTTCTAGGATTCCTGTGCAATCAGTATTTTTTAAATTGTAGCAGTTATGGAAATATATGGAACTGATTCAGACAGTCAACTGTGTAAGTGAAGAACAAAGGGAAACTTCGTGTTTATAACTATGGGATTACTGAGGCAAGTAAAAGATGATATTTTTTATTGAATAAAAAAATTTCTTCAAATTTCAATTTTAAGTGAACAAGTTAGATGTGACTCATTCAAGTACCTAATTTGGTAGAGTTTTGTACCTGCATGAGGCCAAGATTTATTGCCTTTGTAAATTCTTTTATTGATTTAATTTTTATTTACATATTTTGATATTATTTGATAATGCCCTTGATTTTGTTCAAGTTCAACAGGGATTCTATTCGTCGGAATCAAATTACAATTTCTCACTAATTTTACAAGGTTCAAAATTGTTGCCAATTTCCATGAGAATTTCTTCAATCATTATATTATTGTTTGAAGTTAATATCATAGTTACTGCTTGCATTAAAAAAATTAAATTGTTGAATTATTTAATGTTTGTAACATGTGAATTCTAAGCTCTTTTAGAATATATACACACATATTATCATTCTAATTGCATTAGAAACGCCAAATCTAAACCCTCCAACATCAAATTATGCCCAACTTGTTAGCATGCAAAATTAGCTCATTCCAATGAAGGATAAACAAAATTAAAGTTGAAATCTTAAAAGAGACCAAATGCAAAACATAGATTATATCTAATTAGCAAAAACCTAAACATGCATTGTTGGATTCAAATTTATTTGTAGGTGATACCATAGCTTTACTAAAAAAAACAAATCAAGCTAGATAGAAAAAAAGAAGAGAGAAAGAATGTCTAGAATGTGAAGCTCAAGGATTTCACTATATTGACAAAAAGTAAGAGAACTATGCAAAATAATTGGCTGTCATAGGCTCACCCTCTAACGTCATTTTTATAAACTTAGGTTGAAGTACAACACCACATAAAAAACTATATTTGAATGATATACATAAACTTAGATATCAAGGCTTAACAAGTTTTTTTTTTTTAATATATTGAGAACGCATGCAAAGTTCAAAGCGTAAGACGAATTTAAGTGAAGTCATCGCTGACTTCACTTGAAGTTATAGAGTTTTGAAACCTCTGCAACTTCGCTCTAGCTTGTTGAGTAGCTGTGAGACCATGGAAAAATTGACATAAGCGAACAACCGTAGCAACTTGAAAGATTGTCTAGTCTTTGGGCTGAGTATGACCAATTAAATAGCTTTGGATGACTTGAACTCGGTTGTGTATTCAGCATAATCTTAGCAACTTTAATGAATTGATCCTTCTTGTTTGGCTAACTAGCTTTGAGCCCGGTACAAGTTGATCATTGAGAATGGGCTAATCTAGCCTAGGCAAATTTACGTGTACATTTTATTCACTGATTCTCTCGTCCCTTCTAAAAAATCATTAAAGAAAAATAACATGAAAGTAACAAACACGATAAAGTATCACATGGATTATGACTAATTATGCATAATTGAGAAAAGTTAACTCGTTACCAGCTTTGAATCTATAAATACTCGAAGAGTTCCTTATATCACCATTAAGATATGGAGAAAATCAAGAAGAGTGTGATGTAGAACTATATATGCAAGTGATGTTGATTTGGAAATCACGCGTTTTTGAACAGAGCTCAACAATTTATTAACTCGCAATGAACTTAAGCAATGACTTCAGCATGCAAGGGGGCAATCAAGTTTACGAAAACAATCACATGCTAATGGGAAGACCATTAAATAACAGATTAATTAATAACATGCTCACGTGGTATTTCAAAGACAATCCCTAAGTTAACAAATAGATTAGTCACTACAAAGACCCGCTCACAGAACACTCTTGGTGTGGGCTAAGCGGATAAGCTTTCACAATTAAACGATGCCATGATTGAGGAATCAAAAAGATACAAGGGGGGAGGGAGAGAGTTTACCCGCATGGAAGAAGAAACTAAGCCACGACGAAGTCGTTTGGCCATCTATGTGGACATGACAGCAATATGAATCCTCTTGCACACCCAGACAGCACTCTAGCGTCTCCAGAAATTCTGGACAGCAACTATGAGGGCGCCAAATCCAGGAACAACCGGTAGTGGGTCTAGAAAACGGGTTGATCCTGTAATTCAGCAGCAGGCGGCTATTTTTGGAATGATTTGGGAGGGAATTAACAAGCTCCTAAGAGAATTCAAATTTGAATTTCAGATTTGTTGATGGGGATGTCCTTCCAAACATAGCCCAACAATTTAGGAAAGGAATTCAAGGCTTATAGAAGAATTCGAATTTGAATTCAAATTCCCCAAAATTAACGCTAAGCTAATTTAGGAAGGGGAATTAATTGGGATCTCTAATTAATATTCAAATTGATTGATTGGATATCTTTTCAAACATAACCCAACAATTTGGGGAAGGATTTCAAGGCTTTAGGAGATTTCGAATTTGAATTTCAGATTTTTCAAAATTAACACTTGGCTAATTTAGGAAGGGGAATTAATTGGGATCTCCAATTAACATTGAAATTGATTGATTTGGATATCTTTCCAAACATAACCCGACAATTTTGGGAAAGGATTTCAAGGTTTTAAGAGATTTCAAATTTGAATTTCAGATTTTTCTGAAATTAATGCTAGGCTAATTTAAGAAAATGTTAGAGGATCAATTTAAAATTTTTGGGGGAAAAGGAAGAGGGGATCATGACGGTTTCGACCATGGGAACAAGGAGGTGGTCAATGGCTATGAAGAGTGGGGGAAAGGAGAGGCGGTGCATGGTCAAGGCTAGGAGGAGAAAGGAGGCGGTCAATTGGAGCTTTGGGAGGAGATGACGGTGGCAACAAACTCAATGGGGGTGGATGCAGAGATAAACCATGAGCTCGGACGCTTCCTGCAGCTAATGGGTCTTCCTTTGCCCTCACCTAGGGACTTCACATTAGCTCTTATAAGAACTCTCAAGGCCCTCAAACACACTTAGACACAAAGTGCATAAATTTTCATTCATAATAATCATCATCCCTGCCAAGGGGGAGGTGAGGTCTATAAATAGACAAAATACAATAAAACATCAAATGACAAAAGTGCTCCATGGGGTCACATAAACCTACTTCCTCAAGTGAGGATAAAAACGGAAAATTACACATAATAAATCAAATATAAATAATTGCTTAGAAATAAAGCAATCTGATCCTAGTCATAGATCTCTGGCCCTTTCTCTGATAAACTTTACACGGCCGGATGTCCTCATCATTCTCGTGGGGTGGAAAAGAGCTAGACTCCGTCGAGTATGCATCCTGAGTGCTCTCATAGATCTCTACCGCATCCGGGTCAATCCTCTGGAGCTCCTCGCGCTCTAGCCAAGTGTCCTCTATCTCCAATTTACCTATCCACCTCACCAAGTACCTTCTTCATCCACCCTCTTTCGTGAAAAAGATGTCAACATTTTAAATCATGTCAACTTTATCCGCAATAGGTGATTTAGGAATATTTAAAACTGGAGGAAGGCTTGGCTTCTCACATGGTGGGGTCACACAAGGCTCATTATGTAGTTGATTGGGTGGGTTAAACTCTGAGCCCTCATAAGATACTAGATCTTCAATGTTTAAAAAGGGGTTGATATTAAAATTTGCAGGCAGATCCACCACATAGGCATTGACATTAATTTTCTTGATTATTTTTAATGGTCCCACACTTTTAACATGTAGTTTCTTAACGGTCCCTTTCGAAAACCGTTCCGGACGGATCTAAACTATCATCAAATCACGCATCTTGAATGTCTTGAATCTTTATTTAAGATCAACGTGAAGTTTATAATTTGCATAGCTCTATTCAATACATGTAATTTTCTTTTGTAAATAATGCAGATGTGATGCAAGTAAAGATGCAACTCAAAAATCCTATACCTAAG